TAGTGATAAAGAAGCCGAGTCATCTGCTTTAAATTTTATTGCACTGCTAAAGTATTGAAATTAAAATAATTAAACTTTGGAGTATACATGGAAAAAACGTTTATTCAGTTACGTTATTTCACAGGTTACATAGTGCGAAATGTGACCTAACAGCTGAATCATATTGTCTACTAGTAGCACACTAGCAAAATTGTCAATCACAACCCAAATTCTCCTCTTTTTAATCCATACTCCGAACTCAACGATTAGCTTAAGTAAATAGTTGAGAAAAGTAACCTCCACAAATGTTTCAACGAATGATTTTTTTAATACACGATCAACTCATTTTGTTTACGTAAAGTTATACATAGGTAGACAGCATTAATTGTTTTTATGTAGCAAAATATAGTGGAAAAAAGATATCCGTATCACGAAATGTTGTACTATGAATTCAGAAACTTGAATTAGTTTTCAAAATGACGGGGCAAACACTTATTGAACATACTCACATAAAAGTTGATTTTTAATTGCAGAATACTTCTACAGAGAAATATAGCTTGCTTTGCTACTTTGTTGATTCAATCTGCTACGCTTAGTCTAAATTCGTAGATAACACTTGGATTAAAGTTAGGATACTAGTATTGGTAAAAACGCACGGATTTCTTAAATTGTGGTATCCAGTCTGCTCACTCCTGACGCATTTAGAAAAACTTCAGTTAAAGCGATTATAAAACGAATTACAGAACAGACATCCAAATTCAATAAAAATTAAAAACAGTTCTTTTAGAAATATGCGACGGAATTATTCCTTTCTGCTGTGGAAATACTCCTTTATTCATTTCCTTAGCTTCACTAAAAAAATCACACAACTTTCGTATTTTTAAAATTTAATTGGGTTTCTTTAAAGATTTTGAGGATGAATCAAGCAAGAATATCGGAAAAATTTAACTATATTTATATCGAAATTGAGATTCCCTGTAGAACAGATACTAAAAATTTAGCTACGTTTTTTCTACATTGGGAACAGCAGATCACGAAATTAAAATATAGTGGTTTTTAATTTACTTAAGTTTATTGCAGAGTTGCTCGGGAATATTTTATTAATAAAATGTAGAAAAAATTATGGTTCAAATTCTTCATACTGCATGCATTTTTCTCTACTGATCTGTTTCTGTAAATCACATCTATATTTACGGAGAAACGCCATGCAGTGATACTTTCTTTGATGAATGAAGCATTAAGTACCATGATGCATAAGTTACTGCTTGGTTAAAAAGATAGTTAATATTTCTTAGCTTTACTGGGTAAAAACTATAATGACATTCGACATTCAATCTGAGAATTGCAACACATGCATTTTGAAAATTCAATGTGTGTAGGAAAAAAAAAGTAACTCTTCATTCTTTGTTAAAAATTATAAATAAGTATAAAAACTAGCTAATAAGAATTATAGAAAAGGGTTATTAATAGAAAAAATATATTATTTGTAATTTATTTGTAGAAATTATTAATGAAGCATTTTCATGAACAATATTAGGAGAAACACACACACACGCACACACACATACATACATATATATATAAATATTTTACTTATTTTGCAGCATATTGCGCAAGATGTTTTCTAAACCAAAATTAGTTTTTCAAAATTGTAATTACTTCCTTGCTTTATATATATATATCTGATTTTTAAGCTTTTCTGAAAAGTAGGTGTTGGGTGATAATGAAGCGATGAAGTATTCTTTTCGGCTTCATTTTGTTATTTTCAAAATTGTGATTATTTCATTAAAGCTTATATTACTTGGAATTTTGCAGATATCTGATTATTTCATTACTGCAGTTTAATGCAATTCACGTTCCTGTATTTGTCAAAATCATAATAATGAGGCAATATTGTTATCATTAATTCCAATATTTAAAAATGTGAATATTACCTTCCAAAAATTTTCAGTATACACTTTCTGTAGCATGTATCTGGTAAAAGAAATTAATTCCAAATGTTGTATATTTGAAATCATGCTTAAGGTACGTTTAGCATTAGTATTAGTAATAATTAATATATAAATTTAATAATACCTTTGTTTGGTTTTCTTTATATTTACTTTATCTTTTGTATAAAAAGTGTGCATATTTTTATTTTTATTCTTAAGTCTAAAAAATGTTGCAAGAAAAGTGTTATGAAATTTGTTTATGTTGTTTTCCTTTTAAAATTGTAAATAGTAGTCAATAATTGTTGCAATCAAAAAGTGTCACACATAGGCATATGATAAATTCCTACGATTCCAATTCATAATTTTCTTGAAAGTCCCTTTGTTCAAAACTAGGTTAAACTAGATTTAAACATTGTTTACTGATATTACTCAGAAAAAACTTCTTTATCTAAAATCAATATACTACTCTCATTTTCCTTGAACACCAAATTTGTGACAGGAAACTCTTCTCAGATATCACATTAAAAATTAGAAATATTTCATCACTCAAATATATCACTTACTTTTCTGAATAATTTTATTTTTCTAAGTATATTATTTTTATTTCCTCCTTCACTGCATGCTGTGTCTTTTTCATACCTTTTTTCCCCATTTCAAAATCTTACTGTTTCACCTGCTATATTGAGTGGCGTTTATTGTTTGCATCATGTATTTTTGTGCATATCCTGTTTAATGTTTTAATGTCTATTTTAGATGTAATCATTTTTATAATCATGCAATCCTGTTACGTGCTTTTTAACGTAGATTTTACCAATTGTTCGTGTTTTAAATATGGCTTTTTAACTTCTTTGCTCTGCTTTTGTTCTGCTACTTTTATGTGATTGCTATTTCTAATACATTATCTATGTGTTTTAATGTGTTTTCTATGTGTGTTGTGTCTAACAATCTATTTTGTTATTTCGATACACTTAAATACGTACTAAAAGGTTAACGTAAATTTCTACATATTAGAAAACATGTATTCCTGTAAGTTACAATAGATCAAATTAAATTAGCAAAACAAAGCTTCAGAAAGTAAATTTTGATCTCATTTAAAATTAGTAAATTATAAAATGCAGTTCAACATTAAGGTAAACATGTCAACGAACAGAAGATCCTACATGTAAAAGAAGTAACTGTAATCCGAACAGTAAAAAGTAATTGTAATCCCAACAGTATAAAATAAAGAATAGCAGGAAGTCAACTTCCGTATACTTAGCTTTATTTAATTTTTACAAAATGCCTTTCCATTTTGAAGTTGCCCTTAACTTTTCAGTGCGCAAGAAAATTTGATAGTATAATGAATAATTAATCAATCGCTGATATTTTTATCGATGAAATGAAAATAGAAAATATTTACACGTCGCTTCTTAGCTAACACATGCAATGCACGAAAGACAATGTTATAATTTTATATTATTAATTAACCGCTATTAATTAGCTGGATAATGCATAACATGACTATCAATTTTCTGTAGCAACGTTTTACATCTGCACATTAAACATACCTTTTTCCTTCAAATACAACAGTAAGCACACTATATTAGTAGAAAAAAAAACTCAGTTAAAGTTTAGTGATAATTTATACAAATTTAGGCTGATGAGTATTTTTATTCGCTTTATTTGAATTTAGGAAGAACACAAAAACTGTTGTCATGCTATGCAAATCCTTGATTTTTCAATGGCGTAAGAAATAAAAAATTTAAGCACACTAGTTCCCCTTAAAACCTGTAAAATCTTGAAAACACCTAAGAATAAAATGCATTCAAATATACATTTTTTGGTCAAATTAATGTAAGGAAAATAATTTGTTTCTGTGCTATTTATTACACAAAAAACGCGCAAAGCAAACACTTTTTAATTGCAACAATATTGTAATGTTTAAGACAGTATTCTGAACAGCATTATAACCTAAATATTGCAGATTTAAGTAAAATACAGGAAATAAAATAAGATATAATAACATAACAAAGTTAAAATCCTTGACATATGAAAATTAGTTTCGCCTATCAATAAACCAAAGATTACACATATACAGCTATATTTCTTCCTATTAAAAAAATAGCAAAGCTTCATCTTTTTAACGCAATATATTACTTCTAATATTAAACATTCTAAAAACAATTTTCCGGACTTTGGTACGAAAGTAAAAGTTTTCATAAGCATTTTTTTAGTCGAAATTGCTGTATTTTTTGACTGAATAACTTAAATACTGTTTACATCAGGAAAAAAGAATCAGAGTTAAATTGATATTTAAAATAAAGGATGAACCAGTATAGAGTATTTTGAATATTTTCTGCTCTAAAGCTCGGCGAATGATGATGTTGACTGCATGGAGATTTCGCGTCGAATACTGTGCCATAATAAATAACTTAGCCTACGTTTTATAATTAACATGCCTAGTCTATAGCACAGTAAACTAATTTAATATGTTTATTAAAATTTGAAAATAGACACACAAATTTTAATGTCTTTCGACTTAAGAATTAATCTAATTTTTTTAGACATTTACATGACAGAGTTAGAACAAAATGTTTTCCAGCCGTAATTTCTAAATAAATAAGCATACGTCTAACACGCCTCCCCAAAAACTGAAATAAAGTTTTCTGAACACATTATTTTTTAAGTGTGTCACTTTGTTTTTTAAAATGCATTGTATAACATTAAATTTGGCAGAACGCAATTTTACAACAATATTTATCAGTATACAGAAATGTTCACATATACTTTCAAAACATTTTGCAATTTTTACTATATGTTACATTCCAGTTATAATGGCAAATAATTAGCATCTTAATTATTGTAATATATTTTTTTGTTTTATTTGTGCAAAAAAACTTTTATATAATCCCAATTAATTGAAAGCAAAAGTAAATTGTCATGAGTGGATATCCTAATTTCAATTGTGTCAAATTGACCTCTTTTATTTAAGCCTTTTGTATTGTCCAAAAAAGCATGTATTTTGGAATTTGATTTGTTGTGATCCTTGTTTTAGTTTTGGGTTGTCCTGGTAGTGATTTTGTGTTCTTTTGTTTTCTCTTACCCTTGCAGACGGAGGCTCGTTTTCCCGAATGTTGCTGGACCGGCAACCCTCCTCTTCTTCCTGCCCTTCTACGTCCACAGGTAGGAAGTAAACCCTCATCTCACTAAACCATCACCTTTAGAAAGAAAAAAAAAAAAAAAAGACACAGCAGTTAAACAATGAATTGAAGTATTCAATCTGATTAAAAATGGTACATGGTAGTATCACTTACTAGTTTGTGATCTTACGCTTTCTTAATTAATAGCCCTACCCTAAAGCCAATCCCAGAGTGAAATTTGCCTGCATTTACAAATACAAAAGACAATGTCAATCAAATGATAATTTAATATTAGATTTAAACTTGAGACAAAATATAGAACAGAGTTAATAACTAAAAGATGCAAAATCTGCTTTCTCAAAGAGCTGACCATGGTGAATATGTCTTCTTTGTCTAAGCATGTGTATTGCATTCATTAAACTTGACAAAACAAAACAAAACAAAACAAAAAAACATCTCTAGTTGCAAAGAATAGTGATTATAATTCCCTTTCAACAAAATGATGTTGTTTATTTTTTAAAAATATACCTTTTTAGAACCTTCTGAGTAAATCTTCCAAGTCCCGCATATTTTGCACCTGAGAATTAATTAGCAGCAGCTTTTTGCAGAAAACATCTTCCAAATCCATGTAATTTGCTTACTCAGAATCAATTGGTAAGAAAGAAATATAATTATTATTATTTGCTTTTAAATAGCCTTAATGTAAAACTTATTTTGCGCAAATATGAAATCATGATATTATAGGCTTAAACCATTCAGTAAAAAGCAAGAATATTTCCATTTTCTTACTATAAAATGCATAAATTCTGCATAGATTATTTTTAAAAGCATTAATAATTTGATATTCCTTTTACTGCTCTCAGTATGATACTTAGTTCTAATTGGGTTTAAATAGTAGAAAGGAATTTCAAACAAAGCAGCTTAATTTCAACACTTGAAAATAATTTAATTCTTAATACCAGCAAGAATTGCATAGGATATTAGAAGGTACACTTAACAAGGGAAAAATAAATTTAAACGCATTATTATGAGATACTTTAGCATTTAAGAAGGTGCTACCTTATGATTATATAACCTCTTTGGAGAAGAATTATTTTAATTTATCGCAGAACATCTAGGAACAGGTAGAAAAATTTTAGAAAATATGCGTATACATTTTCAGAAGCTTAATGAAAAACTGCTTCTTTCAAGTGTGTAGTTATTTACGATTTCCATGGGTATTGTGTAGGTAAAACAATGCAAAATCGTTTAATAACATAATTTAAGATATAAACATAAACTCAATGGATACGTTACTGTAAAGGTATCTTTAAACATACGCTTCAATAGAAGGGGAAACTCTCGTCTATTCAAACTATTGCTATTGTTTGGATCTGTAGATGTGATAGAAAAGATACATTTAAAATATGAAGAAATTATAAACGTCTGTATATTTTTAGCAACGACAGTTGCTTATTTGAATTTGAAACCTGTTATGTCGTTGTATTTATACAATATTAACTACAGAGAAACAAAGGAATTCATTTAAAGACTGCTATAATGAGATTTGCTTCAACAATGAAGGCAGTTTAACCGGTGAAAGGAAGCAACACCTTATCGTTAAAGCATTTTGGAGATATCTTAAATTTTGCCACCGGCAATAAAAATATTATTTTATAATACTTCTTATATCTATTTCTTATCAACTATGAATATGGAAGAAACGGGAACTAAATTATTAAACTTATTTTATCAACTTTAGGTCAGTCTTTCTCATATATAGTGTGTTCTAATGCCACTTAAAAATCAAAATTTCTAAATCAACGATTTAAGAAAAAACTCCGTTTAAGTAATTGATTTTAGAACTGTGGTTCCTTAATAATAACTGGCTTCAATTCCTAATTGACATTAGTAACATTTTATGTTGATATAGATCCAAAATACTGCATTCATAAAATGAAAGATAAAAGATTAAATAGAGAGACATCATTGCCCTTTATCAGCGCACCCTCATTCTTTTATTTCATCCACAAGAAATGAAAAAAAAAAAAAACATTAAATTTTAATAATATTTTTTGGAGTTATTCTTTAATACTCTTAGTCACTGTTTCCCAAACCTTTAAGTATCGCTACCCACACACATATGGTTGCGACTTATCGTGAACCACACACAAGAAGTTTTTCTGAAGAAAACAGGAAGAGAGTAATATAAAAAGGACTAATCATAAATACACATGTTTAAACAATTAACAATTAATTAATAATTTATTATATGTAATATTTTTATTAGTAATAGTAATTTTAAATAACTGCAATTATATTATCAAAAAAAAAAAAAACATAAGGGAGGAAATTATCAAAATTTTTTGCGACCCACAAAAGCTTTAAATACTCAGCAGAGGGTTTGCGACCCCACTTTATTTATGTAATATTTTTTATTAGTAATTAATAATTTTAAATAACTGCAATTATATTACCAAAAAAAAAACAGATAAGGGAGGAAATATTATCAAAATTTTTGCGACCCAGCAAAAGCTTTCTAATTACTCAGCAGTGAGTGGCTTGCGACCCGCACTTTGGCAAATGCCCTTTTAAATGTACATAAGAGAAAAGTAGCCTTCAAATGCATAAAGTACACTGCATCCTCTTTGCCACATTCTGTTAATCAAGATACACTACCGATTTTGATTGAATTGTCATTAACTATATGGATGAAATACTTCATAACATACCTCCATATTATTCAAATACTACATTCTTAATAATACGCCTCATTCAAAAGAAAAAAGTTCCAATTTGAAGCCGGTAAGTTCTAGGCTATCTGTATTCTAAAGAATTTACACGAGTTAATCAGGCTTGGTTTGCTTCAAGGAAATCATTAGGGTTCCAGAAGTTTGCAATTTTTCCGCTTAGTTAAAGGTTACAGTTTACACCGTTTAATAATATGGCATGGCTATGTACAGAAGATTTAGTTAAAAATGCAGTTTAATTCAATAATTAAGCCCTTAAAGTGGTTTTTCAATTAATCTTTATCAGGAATTTAACAACTTTTATAACAATTTTTATTGATACAACACTGCCATTAAGAAACTTTTATAATTTTTATAAACGCCAAATTGTGAAAACGTATTTTTAATGATGCACCGGCTAATTTTTGAAAAGAATACTTTATTTCATCCGCAGTGACATATGCTGTACAAGCGTAAGATCACAGCTGATGGTCTGTTCGTGTCCACTGCTGACGTGTGACCTTCTCCCGTGTTTGCAGCGATGGGTGGGGTGCATTTCAATGAAACCTACACTGACTCATCCACTAGAGGGCACGCCTAGTTGGGATGCGTGGAGAGAATGGGTTGTGGATCACACAAAAGTGAGAGGCGATAAAATAAGGGGTTACACAAAAGCATTGTATAAATGCAATCTCGTCACATAACTTCTTGTATGCATTGATTTATTTATAAAACGCCTTTTTAGTTTGTATGCAAATTATCAGTAAAATTCATTTGATTTAACTTGACATTTCCTTCGTTTTTAATTTTTAATTAGTTTACTCTTTAAGCTTAATTTTATAAATTAAAAATTCTTTATTTTTAATTAATTGCGTTAGTCTACGAAAAAATATAAAAAAGTAAAGGCTTTTCAAGTCAAGCTGAGAAATTCTAAAATATCACTACAATGGAAATTATTTTATTTTTAGCAAATCTTATACCATTTGAAAGAAATTAACAGCTCACATTAATAAATATGTTGGATTTATGAATGAATAATGATAGAAATTTAGATGAGTCGATAGGTATTTTACATTGTATACATATACAGAGAGAGAGCTTGCATAATGTTCTTAACTCAGTGAATAATTTATATGTACTTGCCTTTAAATTCCGCGGAAAAAAATGATTAAAAATTTTATTAATAAACTCTAATTCCTGTCTCTCCCACCCCTCCACAAAAGTAAAAGACAGGGGGAAAGTTAAGATGTTTATCAATTTAGAGCTGAACACTGGTATAATGTAATATATCTTCAACATTTTGTACCATAACTGCAAAAAGATCAATCATTTAATTGTATGACATTTAACTGCATTTTAAAATAAAAGCAGTTTTGCATAGCCCTCCGTTCAGTTTAGTTTCTGAGTCTAGAATTTTTAGAAAATCTTCAAACAAGTTAAGATTTAAATGAACATGGATTCAATAAAATAGAGTCGAATATTTGATTTTAATATCAAATATATCACCACCAACAGCAGAAATATATTTCTTCTAGTAATATGATCTAGGTTTTTTAAGATTATTATGCTTTGTTTTCTTTAGGAAAACATACTTAGTTGAGGAAGGTGGAGTAAGATTAAAATTCTCAGATTAAATATTTTTCTCGAAGCTGAAATAACAAGTAATTTTGCTAAAAGCCGAAAAGATAATAAAAAGGATCATCTCTTAAGCAATACGCTCACTTCGAGATACCCTTTTGTATTATTATTAGTAATCTGAACTTGAGTAACTGTTACAGTTGTTTCAAAAACTTACATTTATTGAAAATAAATATTTAGAAGAAGTTTAAATAATTGCGTCAAATTGAATTTAAATTTATAGCATCTTTCATGGTTTTATCACACGGATACATGTCAATGAATGTTTTATTTAAACATTAGAAACAAACCAATGCTGTTTACATTCGCTTCACTTACGGGTAAAAAATATCAAAATATTTTATTACAGTATTTTCAGTTAATTCGATTTCACCTCAAATTGAAAATTAACTTCAGTACAGTAACTATGCGTATCACATATTCGTAAATTCTAGTTTGTTATTCATCACTAGCATTTTTTGTGAAATAGCAAAACTATGAAGGAAATTTTGGACAATAAAAAGTAACTTAATTTTATAGTATTCAAAAATGAGACAACAAAATATTAACTAAACACTTCTTGAAATTTTAAATAATAAGTTAAATGTTTTAACGAATAAAATGTAATTTCAGATGTAAAGGATTGCCATTATTATTTATTAAAGTAAGTTAAAGAGTTATATAGGCTTTGAAAATTTTACGAAGCTTTATCAGGCTTAGGGAAATGCA